ACTATTGTTTACAGTGTGACTCAGTTTTATGGCTTTCCCATTAAGTTATGATGCGTTCAATATGGTAGATTTTTTAATTTATTTTACATTATAATTTTCATAAATTAAAAAAAATCAAATTGTATTGAAAAGTTCAAAAGACTTTTAGCAGATGAATGGGTAAGCCATGAATCTCTGAGTATACTGTAAATTAGGTATATGTATTATTATTAATATATATATATATATATATATATATATATATATATATATATATATATATATATATATATATGATTTTACTAACCAATATCTAGTTTCTGATCATGAACAAGATGTTCCGAAATTTCAATAAAAAATAACAGGTACATGTTGAAAAGAAAATAAATTCCTGATATATATATATATATATATATATATATATATATATATATATATATATATATTAATATATAAATAAAAGGGAAATAGAATCTATTTCCCTGATCGAGTGGTAAAAGTAGGCAGGATGGTCTTTGTTGCAAACAGAACGCAGGTTCGATTCCTGCCAGTGAACCATTATTCTTTGTAATGTTTTTTCGAGTGCGCAAAGCTGGTACATTATTAAAAAGAAACATATATTTAAAAAAAAGCAAAAAAAAAACACGAAAATTCTACTCAAATCCTGGTAACATCTAACAATAACGTTTGACGTAAGAATAATATGTCGGATTAAACAAAATATATTCATTAATTCTTTAGAATATATATATATATATATATATATATATATATATATATATATATATATTGCCAACACACAAACAGAATGTCTCATATCGAGAATATTCCACATCGAACATGAAGAAAAATTAATTATTTTAATAATATGTAAAAATCTCCACTTTCACCTGAAGACGGTTGCGAGACCAGACCAGAAACACGTGTCGTGAAATTATGTAAAAACAAAGTATAATATTTTTCTCCAATAATCCACATTACAACCAAAAACGTTTGTGGCACCTCTTCTTTTTTATATATATATATATATATATATATATATATATATATATATATATATATATATATATATATATATATATATATATATATATTCGGTAGGACAGCATGTTTTTCATGCATGTTTGTTTAATAATGGCCGACAATTAATACCTTGTGTGTGGTTTTATGCAATTTTATTTGTACCCTTAAAAGAATATTTGCATAAAATGTAAATAATTTTAGTTATCCCGCGCGGTTTCGTCTAATACTTTGTTCATTTACATAGGAGGACTATTTTCCCGTGTACGAGGATTAATATTATATTTCAGTTATATTATATTTTGTTTTTCATAATGTGTGTGTGTGTGAGAAGCAATCTATCTATCTCTATCTTTCTCTCTCTCTCTCTCTCTCTCTCTCTCTCTCTCTCTCAATATATATATATATATATATATATATATATATATATATGTATATTCCCGTCTGTATGTATATCTTAATAATGTAAATATATAAGGTGGCTCAATAATGTTAAATTATTCATTCGATCTATGTGATTAATATTCGGTACAAATTTTGTTTGAAAATGAGATTATGTTGTAAATGCATGTTTTTCTGTGGAAAATATACACTTTATTTTTTAATGCTTAGTCGAATTGATGATGTGCCTATCTCTATAGATAATTACTGTGTCTTCTCTCCTCTCTCTCTCTCTCTATATCTCTCTATATATATATATATATATATATATATATATATATATCTTCCTTTTCATTGAGACAAATGCTCAAGCCTATATACGAAATACACTCAGTTTAAATTTAAAATAGGCCGTTTATTTGAAATACGAATATGATTCATAATAACGTTTGAAGTAATAAAAATGTCTGATTAAAAGTAAATTCCTTAATTCTTCATTAACTGCTTTACAAAACAAAACAGATATGGGCTTTCGAGTAAGGATATCCTTATGATGAATTGTTCTTTCCGTAAAAGTTAAAATAGAGCCTTCCTAAAATGTGAGGGACTTCCATAGCCCAGCGGTAAAACATCCTACATTCCAGACCGTTTGATGCCACTCAGAGGTACATGCACATGACTAGCGTCAGGCACGAAATTACCTATATATTTACATTTTTATCTATATATATATATATATATATATGTATAGTCTTAAGGTATGTTATATTTACAGTTTAAAGTGTTCAGTGTCAGGGATAGAGCGTATATAAATATAAAAATCGACATGAAAGTCAACAACCAGAAGCAACAGGCATGTCGATTGCTTTTAGCAGAATGAAAGTGTCACCTTCAATGTCCACTTACACACACACACACACACACACACACATATATTCATATATATATATATATATATATTCAAAAAATGAATTAATAAATTTATCTAGAAATATAATATATAAAAAATTAATGGTTAAAAAAGAATTAAGATAACATATTTATCTATAATTAAATATAAATAAAATATATATATTCATATTTCGATGCATATATACATCAAAATAAACAACTATAGATATAATTACATACATATATATATATATATATATATATATATATATATATATATATAAAAGAGAGAGAAAGAGAGACAGATAGACAGACAGACGGAGGAGAGATAGATAAATTCTGGATATATATATATATATATATATATATATATATATGATTTTAACTTTTATTGTTAAGGCATCAAATGAGTCACCATAATGTGTGTGTGTATATTTATATATATATATATATATATATATATGGTAATATATCTATATATTATATATATATTATATATACTTATATATATATATATATACTAAGCTATACATAGATATATATGTACGTATTTTAGATCGGATGAAAGAATAATCATATGAATCTTTACCTTTTAAATAAGGTAATTAAACTATTTGATCATATATATATATATATATATATATATATATATAATAACATACATTATTACATGTAAAATTTAAGATAATACATTTAAATTTTAATAAAACTTATTTAACTGTCGAACTATTTATATTGTCACTCTCACTCAACACACACACACACACATATATATATTTACATGTATGTATGTATGTAAAAGGCACAAACACTAATATTAGTGTTTGAGCCTTTACACACACACATATATATATATATATATATATATATATGTGAAAAGTGTATACAAATATAAATAAATATATATATGTATAATTATTTATATATTATATGCGCGGTACTTATTAGAAAGCGCTCAATATCAGAGATAGAGCTAACATTTGTCTGACGATCGCTAAAGCGTGAAACCCAGGGTCACAAACTCACATCTATCCAAGCAAATATATATATATATATATATATGTATATATATTTGCATGTATGTATGTATGTATGTAAAATATATATATATATATCGCACATATACTTAATAAAATATATTCGATGTAATAAACAGAGTTATTAATTATATATTAATTAATATGCATATTATCATTCACCGGTAGCTCGACTCTATATATATATATATATATATATATATATATATATATATATATATATATATATATGTGTGTGTGTGTGTGTGTGTATGTATACATATATATATATATATATATATATATATATATATATATATATATATGCAGAGAAATATCTTTGTAGCTATCGATCTATATGTATGTATGTCTCATTAAATATAATAATTGCCTTTACTTTTTACTTCTGCAATCGCGAGAAGACTAACCTTTTACTCATGTCTGTGTGTTCGTCATAACATGCGGCCGCTGATAAAGGCGGTCTACCCACAAATCGTTATAAATGTTTATTTTGTCGGTATCTTTTATTACACATGACTCTAACTAATGTGTTTTAATATCTATCTTGATGCTTACTCACCATGTCATTGTTAAGGCAATAACAGTTTTGTTAGCGCCTATCCCTCACTAAAACTGGTTTTAAAATGTATTGCGTGAGTGTCGTGTGTTTATTTATAGAGCTGCGTGTGAGCCTCTACCAGTGGCTCGCTCTGTACACCTTGTGGTCGGTAAAGTCAAGCGTAATTTGGCGGGTTTTGCAAATATCAATAGTTTTCTATCAAGAATACATCGGATAATGGAAAAAAGGGTAATTTCATGTTCACACACACCATATATATATATATATATATATATATATATATATATATGTAAGCAAATATATGGATATAAATCCGACAGTATGAAGAAAAATATATACGGAAAAAAACAAACAAAAAATACTTATATACAATTATGCTGTTTTAATGTTAATATGTCAACGTCGGACGTTTGGTCTAATAAACCATCTTCAGGACATATTCATAAATTATAACATTATCATACAACATGACAATTATATATTAAAATGTTATAATTTATGAATATGTCCTGAAGATAGTTTATTAGACCGAAACGTCCGACGTTGACATATTAACATTAAAACAGTATAAATTGTATATAAGGATTTTTGTTTGTTTTT